TTGACATTTGTAAATATATCGATGATTTCAAGTTAGACTACATTACCATAAAATGAGATTACTGAAGTTAGTGAAAGGAAAAGAAAAGGCTTTTCATGCTCTAAACAATTTTTAGTATTCAATGTCTTTGTTTGATCGAGTGCGAGCTTTGGAGCAGCAATGAGGTTGCTCCTTGTGATTGGAACGTTACGGATTTGAGTATGGGAAATAGTCTCTTTGCAAAATTGTAAGGGTAAGGTTGCATACATTCGACTCTCACCCCTATCCTTGCAAGTCGGATAACTTTGTGCACCGGGATTTGTCCTAATGTCTTTGTTTGATCCATGTAGCCAGCCCTCATCTACTTGGAAAAAGACGTGGTAATGACTATAATTTTGGAACTCAGAATCTTAAATTAGACTATCACGGTGTAAATACGTTGGTTTTGATTATTTAGAATAACTTCTGTGCATTGAATATAATTAAGGTAAAATAATAATTAGAATAATTTCCGTAGGAGTGGAATGGGGTTACGATACCTTTGTAGAGGTAATAATTATCCCTTCGTTTGATGGAATGGGCATTCCCACTATAAAGATGCTACTGAATATTCTTTGCACCCATTTCCTTTCCCATATTCGTTCTAGTCCTCATTGCATCCAACCCAATGACCCCTAAGTAATTAGTTTAATGACTTTGTTGATTTTATTATGCAGTATATCTACAATATAAATTATAAAGATCTTCCTCATGGACTAATTGTGGGATTTTTGTCTGGAAAGGTTTATCAAAATGGAGGTTTGCATATAGGTAAGCTTGTTTACTTTTTCTGTCTTTTATATGCTGTTCTTTTTCTTCCGAAAGAAAACATGTTATAAAATTTAAATCTGCTATCATATCTTCTTTTGGATTTAACTTCGTTTTCTTTTAACACTAATTTTTTTCTGTGGTGCTTGGCTCTGTAGGAAATTCTCGTGTTGTTGACCTATCAAAGTGCTTACGCAATTGCATTGGTGAAGTCATTAGGATAAAACATCTTGAAAACATGAGGTATATTAAATTTTCTATTTTGAATTGTAATATGTTTTTATACTGTCTATGCATTTATTTAAAATTCTATTTCTTCAACATCATTTCTTGAGTTATGCTTAAGAGTTAAGAGTTGAACTGTGATCTTTTTTATTCTTGTAATGCTCCAGGTTTGGGATTATTATACGGTTTGATAAATATTCCAAAAAACACTCGGTAAGAAAATCTTTGGTTGGATTTTTATAATTTGGATGAGCATTGGGATCAAATATGAATATGCATTTACGTTTGCAGATCATGTTTGAGGATGGTTGTGTTGAATTTTATGACATGTCAAAAGAAGACTGGGAACTTGTGAGATTGTGATGCAACCGACTATTTCTTATGCATCTATGTGTAAGACCTTGTTGAATATTATGTCTTCTTAATATCTACTCAAGCTGTGGAACTTCTATTTCTCTTGTTAGCTTGAAAATGTTTAGTCTGCTTTTAGTTCTATAATGGTGTATAATAAGTTTTCTCTTCTCTCTAGCTGCTTTTTGGAAGGGTACTTCCGGCATTGAATGAAAAGTTGATGAGCAATATGTAGCAATCTGGATGGGGAGGCCAACGGAATTAAACTGTTAATTTTTGTTGCCCTGGTCACGTTGATTCTATTTGTCTTTGTTGGATGTGACAAATAAGGTTGTCGTTCCTCCCATGCATTTCTTTGTTTTTATTTTTAATAAGGCAAGGCATGTAAAGGGGTCTCGATTTAACTTTAGAGTCATGGCTGTATGGTGTATTTGTCCTCTCTTTTTTGGTGAAGAAAAAAGCCATAGACATATATATGTCTTTTTTGACTGTATGTCTCTTCTGGCTAGCAGCTGCTAGCTACTTTAACCTTCTAAATTTTCCTTCATTTGTATAGTGGACATGCATTCTCAGTGATTCTGAGTGTTAATCACACGAACGTTAAATCACCTTGTGATTTATGGTCCACCCGTTCAACTCCGTTGATTTTGTTGAAAAATTGATAAAGAGACTGGTGTTTTATAGCTGTAAGACTGTAACCTGATCACCAGGTTATTGTGTAATGTAAGCAATGATGACATAATCATCTCTCTTAAATCTTTCCTAAAACATGGTTTTGTGTTTCCTTTACTCTTCCAAAGCATTAATAATGTAACAATCATTAATGTTACAATAACACTATGATATTTATCTATAAAGAAATACGTAGAATAAATATAGGTAGGTGAATTTTTTATTTTTTTTATTTTTATAGATAGGTAATTTAGAGGTATTTTCACACAATTTTTTTTAGCTATCTTGTTTTCGGAATATGACTTTTAAGGCTAACTCTTCATTGAAAATGAGGATACATTGGATTACTATTATTAGAGGAAAGGTGAAACAAATCTTCCTTTGAGGGGAAGGTGATTTCCTATGTCTCCCACAGAATTCAAAAACAATTTATGACTAAGATTTGAATGTTTGACCAAAACAAATCTTTAGATATTCAGTTGTGAAATGAGCTATCCTCCTCATGATTCCATTCAAAACAATTTGGTTTGGTTCGATTCGGAAACGGTTTGATTTTTAAATTGGTTCTAAAAATTGGTTTGGTTCATGAACTAGTTCTTTAAAATCGGTTTGGTTCATGAACTGATTTTTAAAAATCGATTATTTTAAGTATAATTCAGTTTGATTCATGATTCGATTCAATTTTTTGATTATTTTACACGGCCCTAGATATAGAGTAGCTATATCGTTTTCCTTTCATAATATACGTGTTGGTATGTTGGGCAATTCCAACTCTAACTCTTTTATGCAAAATTATTTCATGCTCCTGAAAATTTTTGTTTACTTTATTCATATTTTAACATTTTAGCTTGATTAATAATGGTCTACCACTTGTCTTCAAAAAATGTTGTTTTAGCATCTGCAAAGTAAAGTTAGTGAATTTTTTTAATCTTAAACCTAAAAAGTTAAACAAAAATTGCTATAAGATTAATATCTCAAATTTTAAATATTTTCCAAACGATTGCCTTCATTTTTGTTAAATTGATCAAGATATTGAGTTAAAGTTTTTATACCTCTTTAAAACATTAAATTTCCAAGTAAAAGAAAACTTCCCACAAATCATTCTTCATCTTTCTTTACTTGGTCATACCAAATCTTCATATTGAAAATAATAGAGAGGACAAGAAGAAGAAAAAAAGTAATCAAGGGCCTTTTTACCATAATAGAAAGGATCAATGAAAATAAATTTATCTTTAAAATAATTAAAGACATATTTATATATGGGCAAAAAAATTAATTTATTGCTTTTTTAATAAAAAATTACGAATAAGTAGTCATTTTGAAATTAATTACGAAAATATAACAGTCAAACACGCCTCATAGGGGCGTGACCGGTTGGAGAGAGACACGCCCAATGTTGGGCGTGACCTAAGCGTGACTCACGCCCACATGGGGCATGACCAAGTTGGAGAGGAGAGAGACACGCCCAATGTTGGGCGTGACCGAGGAGAGAGACACGCCCAATGTTGGGTGTGTTTCACCAGGTGCTGCCACGTGTCACAAAAGTCAATAATTTGACCGTAAAACTTTGGAAGTCCATAACTTTTGACTCGGGTATCCGAATTAGGTAAATTTTTTTTATTCCACATAACTTTTCGAGATCTACGTAATAACACCTAATTTGACCTATTTTGTCTCTCACAAAAAAATTTGAATTTACAACAATGATACCATAATTATTAAAAATGACATGACTTTGTTACCTTATAATTATTACTAAAAATAATCTAACATTTTTATAATCATGAACAAAAACTAAAAAATCAAAATAAAACGAAAAGCACTCACTTAACTTTTTAATATAAATTATTCGATATTCTGTCATCGACAGATATTAACTTTTACTAATTATAAATTTCATAAAATTCTTCATTCAAAATTTTAATATATATCTCAATAACATACATAATTAACCTTATCATAACTTACCATAATCATAAGGATCTTTATTATGAATGTTTCTAATCATAATAGTGATTTTCTGTCCATTAATTTTTGTTTAAACGTTCTTATGGTATCATTATTGTAAATTTAATTTTTTTGTGAGAGACAAAATATGCCAAATGAGGTGTCATTACGTAGATATCGAAAAATTATGTGGATTCAAAAAAATATTACCTAATTCGGATACTCGAGTCAAAAGTTATGGACTTCCAAAGTTTCACGGTCAAACTGTTGGTTTTTGTGCCACGTGGCAGCACCTGGTGAAACACGTCCAACATTGGGCGTGTCTCTCTCCTCGGTCACGCCAACATTGTGCGTGTCTCTCTCCAACCGGTCACGCCCTTATGGGGCGTGTTTAACTGCTATATTTTCGTAATTAATTTCAAAACGACTACTTATTCGTAGATTTTTATTAAAAAAACAATAAATTAATTTTTTTGCCTTTATATATGTTTAAATTTTAAAATAAAAATAAAAGAATATTTTTAAAAAATGAATGTTCTGTTTAAAAAAAAAATATCTATCCTTTCAAAGGATAGACATTTTAATTAAAATTAAATTTTTTTATTTAATATCATTTTTTCTCACCATAATTTCTGTTCGTCTCATCACATAATACAATAATTTTAACTAAAATAATATAATTTTATCTAAAATAATATAATTTTCTGTTTCATAGAAGTACAATAATAAAAAAAGAGAGGATATAATTTGCATGACCTTGAAGGCGGTAAACTCGCTTAACGGCTAAGATTTCGAGCCTTGAAATTCTCTCTCATCTATTTTTTTCAAACAGACTCTCTGGTCTTTGAAATTTTCTTCGATATTTCCCTCTCTCTGCATCGAAAAGAGAAAATTTTCTTCTCATTTAATTATATCTATTTAAATATTTTCGATCAAATTCCAAATTTTCTTTTTTTGCACAGATGTATGCTGAATGCACCAAAAAAGCATTCCTGGTCTTTCGCTATTTACCAGAAAGAATTTTTCTTTTTCTTTTTCTATTCTTTTTGCTCTTTCCAACATTATAACAATATTTTATTGTATATATACGTATATTTCATAAAATAGATTCCAGATTAATCCAACGACGACCATCAAATCTCAACATCCAAACAGAAAATCACAACCAAACTCTAACCTGAACGATCGTTCCCTCTCTCACACACACTCTCTCTCTATCTCCTTCGTCGTTACCCTTACCACCGCCAATCACCGCCGTCCGATCCAGAAACTTCCAACCATCTCCGGTCAGATCTGACCTCACGCGCCTCCCACACTGGACCACGCGCCTGTCACCGCCTCCATCATGGTCGTCAGCGGAGGGAAACCCCTGAAACGCATGAAGAGGAGAGTCACCGCTGATTTCTACGACTTCCTCTCGTTCCCCTCTCCGGCCCTCGCCGCCTCGGAAAACTTCTCCGGCGGACCCTTCCGATCCAACGTCCGCTCCTTCCTCACCAAGCACGCGCTGCTCCCGCCACCGTCGGCGCTTTTCCCGCACCTGCTGACCTGGCAGATCCTCTTCCGCGTCGGCGAACTCACCGACGGCCCCGAATCGGGCCCCGCGGTGGTGTGCCTCGACGTCGTGGAAGAGGATGTGGCCAGATCCAGATCTGTTTACTGCGATCAGTGCCGAGTTTTCGGTGAGTTGACTCGCCAGTTGTTGAATGGCTTTGGTTTCATCGTTTTTCCCGGTTCCTCTCCGGTTGCCGGTTTGCGTTTACCTACTCAGGTAGCGTAGGAGAAATTAGAAAACATGCAAAATGAAAAAACGACACATGATTTCTCAGGATTCCTTGAAATTATCGTGTTGATTTCGCGAGATGACGTTTATTATTATAATTTGCGATTATAATCATAAATATAATGATGTGTATAACTAGATAATTAAGTGAGTATACTGTATCCATCAAGTATTCGGTTATTGAAATATTAGAATTAAAATGACTAATAAATTTTAATTTTTGGTTAGAGACTGATAAATAAATTATTAGTGACTGTATATAGACGGCAACTTATCGCGGATGCGATGACGATAAGATCCAGTGATATATTGGAGAATCAATAGAAAAGTGGGGTTCGGTGGGTGGTGGGTCCCATTAGAAATGGGATAGGTAGAATTTGTAGAGAGTGCCACGTGTTGGTCCTAATTTTGATGGGACATGTGCTCTGCTGTCTTTGTTGCGTGACAGCTATGATTATGTTGTCATTGTCGTTGTGGTCCAATTTTGCTTTCTCTTTTTGCTTAGTTAGTAGTAGCGTGTATTTATAGTCATGCGCCACGCAATGCTAATCTGGATGCTTGTTGTTCTTTTTCATATCACGCTCTTTTGTTTTTGGGTTTGATGTATTAAGAGAAAATAAAAAAAATTATTTACAGGAGTTAGTCATGTAAAAAAAATAAAAATGAAAATAATTTTTTTTTTATAGGAGATATTTTATCTCTTATAATTTAACCTTTTGTTTTTATTAATTAACTTATTAATAGTTTTATTGTTGTTTATTTTTATTATTAGTGTTATTAATTGTAATTTTTTTTTATATTCATATTATTTATTGGGTTGGTGAATAATGAGTTTTACTCCAGTTGAAATTTGAAATTTATATATTTGTTGTTTAGGATGGAGCGGCCACCCAGTGTGCGGGAAGCGTTACCATTTTATAATCAAGGTTGATGGGAGCTCCATTGGTGGGTACCACAAGCCATGTATGTGCTGTGGAGATATCTTGCATTTGTCAGAATCCAAGTGAGTAACCCTCTGCCACCTTGTAGGCATATTTTCTGTTTCGTGGAAAATTTTGTCATCTTTTGGATTTCTTTTTATTCTTTTTATTTGATTGTTGACAAGGATGTTAGATACCCGACATAAGTAAGTGGAACGAGTCACTGCTATTTTACTTCTCCCTATTTTTTTTATTCGTTCACTACTAATTCACGTATTGTTTCTTTGATTGTGGATTCAAATTTGGAAAACAAAATCTCAAAAATTAACCGTTCTCTGTGTGAACACATTGTAGCTACCGAGTTATTTTTCAAATTAAATTTACCTAAGTTGATGGGGCTTTGTGCCTTTGAGCATTCCCCCGCTTAATTTCAATTTACTGCGAGTGAAGTAATTCTGTTAGTATGAAATTCCACTTCATGGGTATTGTAGCATGTTTGGATTAGCTTACATAAAAAAAATTAAGAAAAAAACCTTCTAATGAAAATGATGTTACAAAAGTCTATTTTGGATCAGCTTATAGCTACAATCCGTGATCTTACATTTTGGTTAATGCTTTCTATCTTTAGGTGCAAGTCATGCAACCACGTAACAACCACTGATGATGTTGAAGACTGGGTGTACAACCAGTTGGAGAACACGACTCATCTTTTACATGGTGTTGTCCATGCCAATGGTTATGGGCACCTTCTTCGGGTTAATGGCAGAGAAGGGGGGTCTAGATTTCTTTCTGGTTGCCATATCATGGATTTCTGGGATCGTCTATGCAACACACTTGGAGTCAGGTAGGATTCTTGATTCTAATCACTAATTGCTTGTCTTTTCCAACTTGGATTGTGGTTATTATCGATTTCTGAGATCGCCTATGCAATACATTAGGAGTCAGGTTAGGTTTCATGATTCTAATTACTAATTGCAAGTCTTTTCCAACTCAATACTTCTATTAGGTCTTGGAGCTAATTCTTTTTTCATTTTCTATTTTCTACTTATCTCGTTTATGACACTTGTCACAAAGTAATGATTGTTTAAATTAAACTTGATGTCATGTAAGGATGTACCAATTTAAAGATGAGACATAATACAACACATTTGCCTTAACTTGTTGGTCTCTTGAAATACCTTAACCTTCTTGAAATGGGAGAATATTTGTTTTGGTTATTTCTGTTTATATGGATATAGCTTTGAGTTAAACTCTTTGTTTGTTCACTTTTCTAAATGGGCAGAAAAGTTAGCGTGATGGATGTTTCGAAGAAATATGCACTGGAGTACCGCTTGCTCCATGCCATTATGAAGGGACATCCGTGGTATGGTGACTGGGGTTATAAATTTGGCTCTGGTAGCTATTGTCTCACAGAGGAAGCATACAAGTCCGCTGTTGAAAGCCTATCCAATCTACCTCTGTCCATCTTCCTCTCCCAGGGACAAAAGCCCAACTCTCGTGCACATGACATGATTTCATATTACCAGTCTTTGTCTGACCACGAGCTTGTAAATATAAGAGACCTCTTTTGTTTTCTGATGGGTTTGATCCATGATGCTCGCAAGACTGCGTTAAAGGATGGTGGCATAACCTGCAAGAAGCGCCGTTTCAATGCTTCTGGACTGTCAAGTTCTTGGGAGAAGAGTGATGTCGAACGGGTGGAGGAAGCTATGATCAGAGTGCTGCGTGCAGTGTCTGGGTCTAATTGGGTGAGCTGGCGTTCTCTTCGGGGTGCTGTCTGCAAGGTGGCCTCTCCAGAGTTGCTTGATTATTGCCTTGGAGAACTGGGTGGAAAATTGGTCTATGGTGGAATGGTTGTTAATAGTCGATGCAATCCTCAAACTGGAGTTTTTGAGTTAAGGTTAGACTTCAATTGATTCTTATGGGGTGTACCCTCGTCTTTTCCAGTTTAACTGCATAAAAGGTCATACATACTGGCTCAGACAGAAGTCATGTGATAAATACAATGCTTCAGTTTTATGATTTTGAAAACAAGGCACCTCACTGCTTAGTTTACACTTTTTAAACCATGATGAAGCTGAACTGATGCTTGATCTTGACATTATTAATTTATTATGCATGAGGGTAGACCAAAGAATAATTTTAAGTATATTCGATTTACCCCTTGCATGTTTCTTGTCTTCCTATGTTGGATTCTCATTTGGACTTTTTCTCAAATGTATCAATACAAAGTCCATCAACATTCTTTTAATATTGAGGTTGAGCCTTGAAATATTAATGTTCTTCTCAAAGCATTGATGCTACCTATTAAGTATTATTTGGAAGATTATCTTCCGTTTGCTTTTAATCCGTTGGACTGCAGATTTCTTCATGTGAAATGGATCGATTCTGATATAATTATATTCTATTTGCTGTAGACTTGAGGCTGCAAATGGTTCTTGCTATGGAAGTATAACGAACAATAATTCTTCAGGCTCAAAGTATCCATCTGAAGAGAATCTCCTGCAATGTCTCAGATATTTATACGATTCTTTGCTTCATCCTCAGATGATGCTAAACAGTGTTGCGGAAGGGACATGGACTCTTGCAATGAGTTCAGCTCAGAAACTTCTTGACTGCAAGCAGTTTGTAAAAGATTATACTCCTGAGATAGTGCCAATGTCAGATTTGTATAAAATACGCATCTCATGTCAGGTTGAACTTGTGGACGAATCTGAAGATTCTGCAGCTCCGCCAGAAATAGTTGTGCTGCCCACGAATGCTACTGTGTCTGACCTTAAGATTGAAGCAGCAAATGCTTTTCAAGATGTATATTTAATGTTTAGAAGATTTCAAGTTGATGAGCTACTTGGCTATAGCGGTGTAGACGATTCCACCCAGGTCAAGCTCTTGTTAGGATCGAAAGAAATGGTTTGTGTCCGCGGAAGATGCATTGGGAAGAATGGGTTGAGCAAGTTCCGAATGGAACGGGGACTTGAGAGGTGGACTGTAGATTGCAGCTGTGGCGCTAAGGATGATGATGGGGAGAGAATGATGGCTTGTGATATTTGTGGAGTGTGGCGGCACACTAGGTGTTCTGACATTCATGATACTGATCCTGTTCCTGCATGTTTTGTTTGCCTGAGATGCCAAAACTCTGACTCGAAACCTAAATCTAGTGGGCACTGCAAAGATGAGACAGTGACTAACGTAATTAGTACTGGTAATAGTTGCTTTGGTAACGGCTTGCCTGTGCCTTCAGATATTCGTCAAGGCATTGATTAGGCTGTGTATAAAAGGCTCTTTCGTTTCAGTTTATTTTGCTTTAGCCTGAAAGAACCTGTACATAACAGATAGGCCTTAGGAATGGCATCAGTGACAGGGCATGTCTTGTTCGTATTCCGGGTTGTATCTTCGTTTGTTTATTTTGTATATAGTGACTGACGGGAAAATGTGGAGGGAAAAAAAAGAATATCTAATTTTAATGGTCTCGAATACTAACCTACCTCTGGCGCTGTATTTGAAATAATTGTGTTTTATCCAAGCCTAATTAAAAAGATAATACTGTATGTACCTGGAAAAAAAAAGATATACTACTTGTGAGGCGATCAGAGTTTCCACTTGAGAAAACAGTATGGGAAAAAAGAGTTACGCTGACTTTCCCCCACCCTTTTCTTATTTGCATTTTTATCATTAATTTCATTCTTGAGTGTATAGTATTATGCCGAGTTTCATAATCATCATAATTTAATGGTTCTGCACATTTTCATAGGACATGCACCTTAAATTACTCGAAAAAAGAGTTGAAAGATAGGTTTGCGGATATTTACATTTGACTTATTGAGGTTGATAATATAATGAAATTGTAATTACTTACAAAATTAAGTAAATATGAATTTTTCTAGTGTGTTCTTAACTTACACGCAGAGTCATCCACTATACGATATGATCTACATTTAGTAGTGCTCACGAACAGTTCACCGACTTCTTCTTATAATACTGTATTTTATTTCATAATTTAAGAAATGATATATATTATCACACATGGGATCTAATTGTAAGAAGAGTGACCATTTTGACACGTTTGGCAAAAACATTTACCAGACTGCCACGCTAACAGTAAATTTTGCCAAAATGTCACGCGGCATATTTCGCTACATTGTGTAGCGAAATATGTTTGCAAGTAATTCGCTACATAGTGTAGCGAAATATGCCGCGTGATATTTTGACAAAATTTACTGTTGGCGTTGCAGTCTAGTAATTTTTTTGTCCAAACGTGACAAAATGGTCATTGTTCCCTAATTGTAGAGTCGGAAATTTTTAACACTGGGTTGACTTGTTTCCAAATTTGTGTGAAGCTCTAGTGGCAAAAATTGACACGAAGAAATTCAAGTTGTCATATGTTAACTCGCAAACATAAAATTGATCTGCATTATTCTTCTTATAGATTATCTATCTCGCGTTGTGTTGTCTTGTGTTGTGTCAAATCACATAATAAGTAATATATTTTGAGATTGACAGATTATTCAATCATGTCATTTCAACCCGCATAATAAATAACACATTTTGAAGTTGGCGGATTATTCATGTCATGTCGTGTTAACCCATAAAACAAGTGGGTCGTGTTTATGTTAAAGATTTTGACCCGTTGTCATATTCATGTTGTGTTCATGTTAAATTTCTATCGTGTCAACTCAAATTGCCATCCTCATTTATGTGTTAAGTTTGAAACCACAAGAGTTAAATGATACATAAACCATAAGAGATAAAAGTGAAAATTTTCCAATTATCAATCTGAGTATTTGGTAGGGTGACAATTTTCAGTATGACCGCTGACATAACACAAAGATAATGCAAAAAATTATTGTTGGAGTCAAACATTTTCAAATTCTTTTCGTGTTCATATTGGCAAAACTTACATGAAAAAATTTGTGTTTGTTGTGTCGTGTGTCAACCTGATTGATCTGCGTTAATATTCTTACATGTTATTCATGTCGTGAAGCAAACATGTTATTCATGTCTTATCGTGTCGTGTTAACCCACATAACATGTAACACACTTTGAGGTCGACAAGTTATTTGTTCATGTCAATGCGCATAATAAGGTGCTTTGACGTTGCGGGTCATTTGTATTGTGTCAACTCGCAAAATAAGTGGATCGTGTTCGTGTCAAAGATTTTAACTTGATTTCAAATTCGTATTGAGTGTATTCATGTTCGTGTCAAATTTGTGTCAAACCGTATTGTGTCGACCTAAATCATCAACCCTATTATTTGGTAATATTTAAAAAATTTTGATAAAAAATAAAAGATTAAAAGATACTCAACATATCATTGATAGGGGAAATAAATAGAGGAAAAGAGAGTTTACAAAAAAATAGAGAAAAAGAGAAAATATTTTTAAAAATATAAAGGGAAAATTCATATCACTTATAAATTAAATAAAGTTATATTAACAGAAACTTATGAAATCCTATTTCATAAGGATATGAATTTTTTTTAAATATTATTCCATGAATTTGTATAATCAAAATATAGAATAATATGTTATCCTGTATATCTTTTATTTGTAATCATTAAAATCCTCTAATTTCATAATTAAATGAAAAATGACAGCCAGCAAGCATAACACCTTGGTAAATATTTGGAATTGGAAATAATGAGTAATAAATTTAAGCGGTAAATTAAAATTTTCAAATTGTTAGTAACTCACCGCCAATTAATAAATAGGGCAATTAAATTCATCCTTTATTAGTATTTGGAATTTGAAAAAAAATATATATATATATATATATATATATATATATATATATATATATATATATATATATATAGGAGAGAGATCATATGTCTTACTCTCTTCCTTATATATATATATATATATATATATATATATATATATATATATATAAATTAAAATAATCCTAACCGTTGATTTCCGTCCATCCAACGGTTATAATTTAGGAAGTTATATTAATTAATTAATTATTAATTATACTATTAATGATCTTGAAATATTAAAATTACAAAAGCACCATGATTTTCGTCCCAAAACGACGTCGCTTTGGGAGTAATTGCAGATAACTTATCTGCAGTAATGAACCCATATATATATATATATATATATATAATTGGAAATTCGAATAAACTTGTGATTAGACACTTCCTAATTTCAACGGAAACAACACCTTATATATAGCTGACAAAATTGCCTTTTTAGATTTTAATGATATTTACTAAGAAAACTGGCAGCCTTAATAATAACTATAATCATGGTTTTTATGGGGGGGAAAAATCCTTTTTGGGAAATTATTTTGTCAAATTTTTTGAATATAAATCCAATATAAGGAAAGTGCATTAATATAAACGAGGTCAAAGGAATTACTTTTGTTGTGAAAATTTTAGAAATTTAAGTCCGTTAAATAGAATAAAATTTTGTATTTATTATTATGAGACGATTTTAACCCTTTGGTTGACAAAGGAGCATGCCTATCAATCAATCTCCCCAAATCTGGATCTGGGAACATAAATATGGAAAGTATGTAAATACAAACATTGTCAACATAATAATATATAATACCTATAGAATGATGGGCTTTAAGGAAAGAAAATCCTTTGGGGAAAGTATGTAAATACAAACATTGTCAACATAAATCTGGGGAAATTATGTTCGCCAAAATTTTTAATATAAATTTGAGAACCTGAATATGAAAAGCATAGTTATTAGCTAGTATCGTACGATATACGATATAATTTGTAAGTATAGCAATACATGTCGAGGGATGTATAAGACAAGGTTTTATATCGTACGATACATATTGTGAATCATAGCATAGGAAAATTAAATCAAAGATTATAATTTTTAATATAAAAAAATAAAGATTTGATTTGTGATTTAAACAAAAATTAATCTGAATAATCTATATTAATAAAGGAAGTAATTGAATAAATATTTTAATATATTTTTATTATTTTTTATTATATTTTTGTATCTTACGATTCGATATAATTCACGATATAAAAAATCGGCCAAACGATACACGATACATATTGTGATTCAACAACCTTAATGAAAAGTAAGTATAACGTTCCCTGAAACGACAGCATTTGGGGTTAAAAGATAAAAAATTATAATAATAAAAATTATTATAATCTTGTAATAAATTAAAATTACAAAAAAATACCAAAAAAATAACAACTAGAATCATTGCTTGGGGGGGGGGGGGATTATTTTGTCGACAATACCTAAATATGGAAAGTGTATTAATATAAACGAGGTCAACATAATTACTTTTGTTGTGAAAATTTTAGAAATTTTAATTACGTTAAATAAAATAAATTTTGCATTTATTATTTAATATTATGAGCCTATCTTAACTTAACCCTTTGGTTGACAAAGGAACGATACCTATCATTCAATCAATCCCTTTAAATCTTGATATGAAACCCAAATTTGGAAAGTATGTTAATATAAACATTGTCAATATAATAATAATACCTAGAATCATGGGTTTAATTTAAGGAAAGAAAATATTTTTGGGGAAATTACGGTGGCCAAATTTTTTAATATAAATATGAGAACCTAAATATGAAAAGTATGTATATTAATATGAATTTGGAAATAAATTACATTAATATAAATAATGTCAACAGATTAAGTAAATTAATATAAATTTGGAAAAATAAAGTCCATCAAATCCCAGATATACAATCGAGCGATACCGTATCAATTAATCTTCTAGAATGATTAAGGGTCAAGGTCACGATTTGGTGGCAGAATATAAAAAAGGGTAAGAGCTTCATTGTATTGGTATTCAAAGAAGATAAAAAAACACTAAACTTTTCTGTTGTGCTGTGATAAAAAGTTAACGAAAAAAGAGAGGAAGAGACTTTAACTGAGGTAATTTATGTTTTGCATTTGTTCGGTTCAATTGAATTGAACCAATTGAATTCCTTCACTATTATATGTTAGTCACCATTACTGTTTGAGTCTTTTCATATTCTTTTTAGGGGGCGTTTGGTATACTGAATTTTACAGTATTTTTGAAAAACTGAATTTTTTAAATTTTATATTTTTGGATATTATCGTAAACTGAATATAAAAATTATATTTTTGAAAATTGAGATTCCCGAATAAAAAAAATTTCTCCTCTATCAAACGTCCCCTTAGTTCTTGTCGTGAGTTGTTTTGTCTATAGGATGAAAAAGGTTCTAATTTCTGTTTAGTAAATTGAAAATAAGATTTTTCTGTTGTAATTTGGAGTTTTTTTTTCCTGTAATTTGTGATATCTTATCATTCCTTAATTTCTCATGTAGGTATTTGGTTCTGATTGGAGATGACTATGGAGAACCATTTGATGGATGAAAATAGGACAATATACCCTTTTTCCATGGGTATGCATGTTCTAGTTGTTGGCGATGATCAGTTTTGTCTTAAAGTGTTCAAGAACATGCTTCGCAAATGCGAGTATCATGGTACGTGATTTTCTTTGTTTTCATTCAGTCAATATAAGTCTGCATTGAT